TCTACTGTTAAAATGGATTTTGGAAATATTAAATAGTGTTTTATATTTATAATATCAGTTTATAAATTTATAATATGAATTAATATCAGTTTTATAATTTATAATATCAGTTAATGATTATTCCAAGAGACTGCTGTCAGGCAATCATTATTTCCTTTTGTGGTACCCACGTATTAATTTCAAGAGTTTGTAAATATTTACAATGATAATGTAGAAAGAGCTTGTAATATACTATCACACCACAATAGAAATGAAGAAACAGTAACAAGTATCACAAAACTGCAAAATGGATTAAAGTTCAACAGTAATGGCATATGTATCTTACACCTCTTCAAGATGCCAGATTATTAAGATCAGGCTTGTGAGCCCCAAAGTCATCACCTTACTGTTAGTATTTGATAGTTAATATGAGAAACTCTGGTAAAAGTTACTTCTGAAAAATATTTCCTCCATAGTGAGTGCTAATGAATATCTTTTCTGTTTCATCTACTATTAAGGATAAACTGTGTCAGAAAGATACTAGGTATAACCAAATATAAACTTTGACCATTACTAGTTGCATGACTTAAGACAAGATATTTAATCTTTCTAATTTCCAATTTACAATTCTAGCAACTTGTTTCAATGATAGTTCAAAGGGATTTGTTAGAAATACATAAGATCACATAGATAAAACTGTTAGTACATCATTTGGCTTTGGGCTTGCTCAATAAACATTGTTCTATTCTTGTAGCTAGTCTAATTTTTGGTGTTTAAATCATAAATTTTGGTAAACCTAAATTTAACAGGAATGAATATATATACATATATATATATATATATCTTAACACATTATTCATGTACGTATGAGTATATATATATATGTATATATACACACACTTACATTTAGAGGCAAAAACACAAATTTACATTTTATAGGGATGTGTGTTATGTTAATCATGAATCAGGTAAAAGGAAAGTAACAGATGTGATTTTGTTAATTTGCTGATAGTTCTTTCACAGACTTAATAGATCATACAGTTTCCTTACTCAAAAAAATGGGAATCACTTTTTTCTTTTTTAAGACAAAGTTTTACTCTGTGTCACAGGTTACTGTGCGAGGCAGGGTTCTTGCTCACTGCAGCCTTGATCTTCCAAGGCTCAAGCAATCTTTCCATCTCAGCCTCACTAGTAGCTGGGACTACAGGTGTGCAACACCACATCAGGCTAATTTTTGCATGTTTTGAATCTACATGGTTTCACCATGTTGCCCAGACTGGTCTTGAACTCCTGGGCTCATGTAATCTACCTGCTTCAGCCTCAGGAATCACACTTAATATTTAGAAATTAATTAAAGATAGATGGGAATTAAACATTAGGGAATTTATTTAGATACATTTCCTCTTTACATTTATTATTCTTAATAACTTTATCTCATTTAAGTATATAAAGCACAACAGTTTATTTACGAGAGTTCAGTGTCCAAAATAGACTCTAAATATTATATATAACCCAAACCAAGAAAGCATTTCTTCCGAGATATAAATATCCCTCTGAAATCTTTACATCTTTAATGAAAATTGAATTTATTTGATGTTACATTTCAAGTCCAGAGATATAAAGTGCACAGCAGTGAATTCATTATCCATATATATATAGATACATTCTTTATATATCTGGCTATTTCTACCTGTATATTCTGAAGTAATTTAATCATTTTTTTCTCAATTTCTGCTTCTTTAAAATAGGCTACTCTTATTATCATTAATGATGCTGCAGTTTCCACCACCACGACTATTACTTCTCAAGGCTAGTGTAAAATAACAGTAATACATAAAGAATATTTAAAATTAGTGTAACCAAATCATGATGCATATCTTAAACCCAGGAGACACACTAAAATATTTGTTTACAGATATGCATGTTACATGTTTATGATAACAGAGAGTTCCCTGATCCCCCTGGCAGGATGTGCAACAGGGTTGAGGCTTGCCCGTTCAGTCCTTACCTCTGCTCAAACCCCTGATGGGAGTGGGGAGCCCACAAATGGGTAAATCTAAGAGCTGGGTGAATGCTTTGGGCTTCAGCCTCATAATAGTGCCTAGGTGTGAGAGCCTGCAGCCCCAGTGTTACAATGCACTCTTAACCTTGTCATCCACAGACAGCTTAAGTGTCAGCCAGCTCAATGCATCTTCTGCCTTTTCACAAGGGCAGATAGCCAGTGTGACAGCTTTCTGTATCCCAGGCTCTTGCTCAGAGTCCTGGAAGAATTGAGTCACACAATGGCTTGAAGGATGAATGCAGGTTAGAGGCGGCTCTCAGCAACATGGATGGGGAGGGAGGAGGGGAATGGAGTGGGAAGATAATCTACTTCTGGAGTTTGGCCATCCGGTGTCTGAACTCCCTTCCATCCAGCTGAATTCCTGTCTGTGTTCAGACGTTCCTTCCCTTTTATCTTTCTTTGCCATGCTATTATGTCATTCTTCTGCTTGTGTCCTTGTCTGCCCAATGCTCGTCTGCTTCTAGACCCTGGGGTTCAGGGATTAGACGGGTACAGGATAGGGGAGTGGCAGGCAAAAGGCAACATTTTGGGTAAGAGACAGAAATGCCTGTTCCCCCCTCGGGGCCTCCATTCTCCAGGATTGAAGGTGAGGCCTTTGCTGGGGAACTGCCCTCTTTTACCCGATTTTTCCCTGTCTCCTGTCTGTATCATTTACATATATGAGAAGGTCTATATAATAATTATTACTACTTCTGAAACTGAATGCAAATCCTCAGAGCTATCCCCAAACTTTTCAGTACCAACATGACATCTGCTACTTGTTTCTGAGGTCCTTTTCAGCTATTTAGCATTTGTGAACAAGAACATACCATTGACTTTACAGAAAATGAATTTCCATTCCTATGTGTAGTTAATCATATTATTTTGTAATATTTTCTCTTGTTTTTTCTTTCCATCAAGAATTATTTACTATAACTTGTAAGTGAGTGTTCACAAAATCACAACTATACATGTTGCTCTTTCAAATGTAGAAAATTCTATCAATTTATCTGAAACTGGTAAGTATTCCATACATATTATTTCCTTTTGAAAACATCATCCAAGAGATTTGAAATTCTACCAGTATTATCAGCTCAGGTTATAGGACTGTGAAAACGGTATGGAAGGAAATGAACTAAAAAGGTTTATTTCTTAATAATAACTGTGAGTTTTATTCAGGAATTTTGGTGGAAATGACAAATTGAGAATGTAAGATACCAGTTTGGGCCAAGATACTGAAAGATTGAATAATTCTGAGATATATAATTACTTAAGATACAATTAGTATATTTTAAAATGGGGAAGGGGTGCAGAAAAAGATGAAAGAGGTAACTTTTCTTCATTAAGCATCTATGATATCTTAGTCTATTACAGATACAATGTGTAATCAGAAAGATGGTGGTCAAATCCAGATTCTTCAGCCCTAGTTGGTAACCTTTACTGAGTTATTTACCATGTCTGTATACTTCAGTTTATCTTAACTATTAAATGGAAAAGTAATAATACCTACCTCATAAAATTCTATGTGGATTAAATTCAAATGTATAAACACCTAGAGAATACCTTAGGTATATTTCTACTTTTGCAGAATAGGAAATGAAAATCTGTGAAAGTTAAGAACTTCCCAAGGTCACTGCAGTCAGTAAGATGGATCAGAACTGTAATCCATCTGCTTTTTAACTCAATGCTCTTTCTGCTGTGCTAAAATGAGACTAGGATAATAATAGCTAGTGAAAATATCAATAGTAGGATCGAAATACAAATGAACTGTGCCTAGATGAAATTTAAGGCAAAGGAAATGACATGAAAAACAGATAGACGGTAGTCTTATTATAATTACAAGAACTTGAATTTATGGCAACATAGAATTCAATAAATGTAAGACTGAGCTCAAAATTTTCTGGAAGGTTTTGTGGCTTACTGTGGGGAGTTTTATATTCTTGTTTCCCTCTGAGGGTGTATTCAGAACCCTCTCAACTTTTCTTGTCTTTAAGCAACATTCAGTCATTTTTTAGGTCACACTACCCCAGATTCAAATTGCAAAATTTAAAAAGATTTTAGAGAACACATAATAGTCTTAAAACAAAATCTTGTGTCATCAAAGTCAAAGCCATAGTCATTTCTCTTCTGTACTAGTGTAAAGGCCTCATTAGTCATGTTTCTTCTGTGTATTTCTTATAGGTCAGCTAGCAAGAGTTTTTATACAGAATAAATCAATATCTCCCCACCCCCACCTAAAACCAGACAAAGCCTTCCAATATTACTTTCAACGAGACCTATATGACTTATCATGGTCTCCAAGATCAAACATAATTTGGTTGCTGCATACCCTGTCTTATTACCAATCTCACTTACTCAGACCCAATTACGCTGGATTTTCTTCTTTCTGTATTTTAATCACAGAAATCTTAATTTCCCTTGCTATTCCTTTGCCCTGGAATGGTCTATTTCAAGGTCCTGTCTCACCACTGACTTCTTTTGTAAATTATTTTCTACCTTAATTTTCTACTTTATCTTCCTCCTCCCCATTCACATGTAAAATAGAATAGAAGCTCCACGAAACCAGGGATTTATCATGGTCAATCCCATCACTTATTATGTTTAAGTGATAAGTAAATAAATAACATGTTGTCCTTTACATGTGGAGACAAATCATCAGTACCCATAATTTGGATGATTTCCCTATTTTACTTTTGAATTTGCACTCATATATGTCCTTTTCTGTGTCATTGATTGTGTAACTGAGAGGGATTAAAGGTGTTTCTTGTGATAAGATACCTGCATGAGAATAGAAAGAATTAAAAATTAAACCCACATGTTTCTAAGGGATGTAGCTGATTTTCTGAGGCAATCCATTGAGTGGTTACAATGGGTTCTTAAATAATTGCATTTCCTTGAATAGGTATGCTGTGACTAAGGTACCTGTGATAACAGAGGATTGATTTCCCTCTTATACTTTCCATCCAAGTTCAAACCCTACCTTAAGAAGAAACAATTAGATTGCCTCTAAATGCGATGTTACTGATGAGCTTGTTCCATGGTCAATGGTGGAAATCAATTTTCATTTAAGAATCTACGGTACTTAGCCTTTTTCCTTTTAGTAGTCTTTATTGATTGTTCTTTCTGTAGAAAGACACTATCCATTCTACTGTAGCCAGGCACTGTTTCCAAGATTCCATAATAATAGAGTTAAAGTTCTCAGAGAACTTTCCTAGACTGGCAACACACCCATTTTTTAACATGTAAATGAAGGCCATTCTGTCTATCGTGGAGCATGGGAGAAGACTTTCATTTAAAAGAGATAGAAACATTATTATGAAAAGCCTGAAAATAAACTGCTCTTTGGCCTGTCCAGAGATTTTAGGGGCAAGAAAAAATTAAAAGAATACTTGGATGAATTATAAATTATTATTTTAATTATATGGCCACTAATTTCCTCAGGTCAAATAACCGTTTGAAATGATTTCCTCTGTCCGTCCCAAGCTCAGAGCAAAGGGTTTTTGTGTATAGGGGGTGTTCAATGGATATATTTTTTTACCAAAAGGATAACACAATTCAGCAGTAATTTTTATATTAGAGTTGTACACCATGTGGCTTCTAGATTTGTAAGACAAAAGGGTCTAACTTTTGAGGAACGATTCCTGGTTTCTCAGCAAAGTTGTTTTCTGGAAGGTGCCCTCTCAGATTAGGCCATCCTCCCTTCTTTGTTTACAGTGAAGATTACTATGAATATCATGAGAGGTAAAAAGAGTTGATTTCACATGTAGTCTTCATAGATTTGTTTGCTCTGAAATGAATTTTCTGATAAACATTTAGTGAACTGCCCTTCATTTATAATTGTTCTTCTGTGTATTTGGTAATGGGGGATAGTGTCTATGATCCCTCTAGTTTTCATTTATATGCATAACTTAGGGAAAAAAAACAATAGAACCTAAGCTTTATAATAAAATATAGTTTTCCTGATATTTTTAATGTACAAATAATCATAGATAATGCATACCCAGGCTAATATAATAAAAACAGGAGAAATGCTGCTTTTAGGAGCTAAATGAAAGAATCAGAAATATAACAAGTTTTTTACTTCAACACTTTGATATTATGCTATACTAACAAAATTGTGTCTTAATTTAACGTTTTTCATTTTTCACAAAGTGAAACTCAAATAAAATTATATAGCCATATGTACTTTTCATGCCATTTTTATGAGTTATTTCTATTAGTTATTCCTTCTTAGTTGAAAAAAAATCTTTTATTATCTAAATTTTGTGAGGAAATGTTCTTTATTATAAAATTTAAACTTACCTTGGCAATAAAATGAGAAAATTACTATTTTTTACATTATGCTTATTAATACATGTTAATTTATCCAACTTTTTAAAACAACAACGAAAACCTTTTTAAATTCTAGTAGCTAAGAACTTCCAAACTGAGTTTTAGCTGCATTTATCAAATGAAAATTTATCTTTCCTTTTCACTTAAAAATATTATACTATATGTGATTGACTGCTTTATACTTTAGAGAGTTTGTATGGCCTTTATTTTATTTTGTTTTATAGATATCTTTTTATCTGTGGAATTTTTCTGGCCAGGATAGTTTTTACTTTGTTTGAGATTCAGGTGGAATTAAGCATTGCATTCTCTAGTCATTTGTGTGAGATAATCAGAACTCCTCCAGCTTATCCAAGATGGAGAAGCTTATCCAAGAAGGAGTACACAAATTTGGATTGTCTTGGCTCAAAAGCCAGACATTCAAGACTTTACTTTTATTTATTTATTTATTTATTTATTTATTTATTTATTTATTATTTAAATTCTCCCACTAGGAAGTTTTTAGCTGTATTGTAATTGCCAAACTTTTACCGTTCGATATCTGGCATTGTATATACAGGACACTAAGAAAATTCTGTTGCTCCTAGGATGCTAATTACACTTCTCTAATCCAGCTGTTAAAATCAGGCAAACAAGGCAAAGACTAAATTAATAAAGAAGATCTACGATGATCACCACCTAGATATCTGCATCTTCAAAAGTAAAAAAAAAAAAAAAAAAAAAAAACATGATTCAATTTTTAAAATATTTCATGGAAAAGTTTGGGGGGAAGGCATACATATGTATTATCAATCGAGGAAAACAATAAGACACATCTCAGTCATTTTAGATTTATTTGCCAAAGTTAAGAATACGCCCAGAAGACAGGTCTACGCCTTTTTCTGAAGATGATTTTGAGTGCTCCAAATTTAAAAAGGAAAGGGTAGGATATTGAGAAGCACATAGTTTTCACATAAACAAAAGGGGTAGGGAAAAAATGTAGTGAATTTGAGTTTCACCCAAGATAACGCAGACGAGATAGGATAGGGAAACAATCAGATATACATTTGTGTTTGGCAGGCATTACTGAACATGTAAAGATAAGCTGCCAATTTGCATTGCCATGGCGAAGTTTTAACAGGAATTAAAACTCACCCGGAATTTCCTCATGGGCAATGTGGGGAAGGTCTGTAGCTTTTCATCTTGTACTCATCTTGTTTAGGAACCAAGAGAGGGAGTCAGGTTTGAGTGACCCAATTCCCAGCTTGATTTTTCTCTTTGGCTAAATGAGTTTGGGGATCCCAAAATTTAGTTTCCTGTCACCGTATAACAATAAAGGTTATACTTACTGATACCAATAAAGGTCAGAATATACACACTTTTCTTACCTATCTCCAAAGATATTTTATACTTATATAATAATAAATTTGATTTTCTTATATATTTATGTTAGAATTATTCATTCAAACAGGAAATTATCAGTTAAATAAAGAGAAGAAGGAAAGATTTAGAGAGGACAAAATTAAAGAAAACAGTTGTGCTGAATACTTTCCATTAACAATGGGATGGTTAGTTCCTAGCGGTCTGAATCACCTTGGTTCATCAGTGTGTTTTATTTATATTCTAATATTCTTGATGCAGTTTTTTTGTCTTTACTTTTACAATGAGGATTTTTTAAAATTATAGAACATATTACCTGCATGACATGCTACTTGGAACCTAAAGAGAAAACAGCTGGACTACATTGGTACACTTTCTTTCAAATCCAGAAAGCCAGTACATTAAAGGAAAGAGTAGTTTTCTAATTAAAAGGAAGTATATTTTCTTGTGATGGATAGGGTTAGCAGATAAAGTACAGGACACTGAATTAAATTTGCTTTTGAGATAAACAATGAATATTATCATTATTAGATCTCAAACATTGTATGGGATATATTTACACTAAAAATTGTTTGTTGCCTATCTGTCTGATTAGATTTAGTCTAAATATGTCCTTTGTAACATTTAGGACATAGCTATAATAAATTTTTTTCATTTTTTTCCTGAAATATGAATTTCACTTGGTATACTTTAATTTGCTAAGTGTAATGACTTTAATTGTGGGTTATTTGAGTTGTAAAAAATTATGTAAAACATATTTAAACTTCTATAGCTTTACCACATGTAAACAATTATGTCTAATATTTTAATATACTTCCTTATATAATTTTTAGATGAATACTTGAGTAGAGTTAAGCTTGAAATGCTAATTTTTATTTTAAAATAATAAAATACTATCAATATTAGATTACAATTTACATAATTTCAAAAACAGGTAATGTTACTCTTGGAAAATTTATTAGTATTTCCAATGTAGTAAAAAATTAGTCATTTAAAACATAGTCCTTTCCTTGAAACTTTAAAGTATCAAGAAAAATAATTTAAATTATTTATTCAACAAATAATATCATAACAATGCAATATATTTATGCTACGGGACATAAAGAACTATTTTGTTTAGTGATTCTTCCAGCATGAGTTACTATAAAAACAATTTATAGATTGTATTCTTCTTCTAAGTATTTATAAAATAAGTAAATATTTAATTAAGCAATAGGACAAAATATCTGGTGCACAGAAAATATTTTCTAGAAATTAAAAAAATGACTATATTATAAGAAACGTAAAAGGAAGCAATGGGAAATAAAACTTCATCTTTGTGTGACAGAATATACGTAACAATCAACTCCTAAGTTTTTGTGCCCAAATAACGAAAGACTTGAAAATTCTTTTTCAAATGATTTTTTATTTATGCATCTCAATTTCGTTTCACTTCAGGTAAATTAGAATAAATCCAGAGGAGTGTTTTGTAGATAAATATATGGCTATTTTATTTTCTGAAGCTTTGCATATTTAAAGGAAAACACTGTTTTCACATTTGAAAAATGATTTGAATTGTCATTTTTTAATAATGAGTTATTCTTTTTAAATTCTGAAAATACAAATCCATTGTCTTCTAACACAACACTGGAGGGAAAAACACATTTCCATCTCTGATTTCTAGTTTTGTTATTCCTGCCCTTAGTTTTCTATAGGCGCATTAATAGACCTTTTTATTTTTCATTCCAACTTATTGTCCAGGTATTCATGATCCATCTACTTTACATTCACAAGTCTGCCTTCAGTTCAGTTTTCTTATTTTCTTAATTAGTGTTTGTGACGTTTTAGTCCTGTTTATTAAAAATAGAATATCAGAACAGAATGTAAGCTAAAAATTATCTTTCCTTCATGTTTATTTTATTGCTTTAATTTGTCTATCAGTTTTTCTTTTTTAAAAAATAATTATTTTGAGACATTTTACATATCATATAGTTTACTCATTTCAAGTGTACAATGTAATAATATTTAGTGCATTTAAGAAGTTGCATAATCATTACCATAAATTAGATTTAGAATATTTTCATCTCCCCAGTAAGATATGTCTCACACATTAACTGTTAAGCCCCACCCCTAGCCCCAGGAAACCATTAGTTTTATTTCTATTTCTGTAAATTTACCACCTCTGGACATGCCACATAAGTGGAATCATAAGATGTGTAGTCTTATGACTGAATGCTTCATTTTTTTTTTTTTACTCTCAGAATGTTTCTGAATTGTTTTCTGTATCACTGCTTTAATTTTTTTTTTAGCTTCAAATTGTGCTCAACTACTTCCAATATAGATTTTGATTCCAATATCACACTTTCACTTCCATGAAATTTTTTTGAAAAGCCCTCACACACACACACACCCTCACACATGCCTACTCTGCCATACAAAT